GCAATAGGCAAGGAAGTGCTTCAGCTATTTTGTTCTCACATATATTATGGGTAAAACTGTATCTCCAAAGCATGAATACTGAAATTCTAACCCTCAGTATCTGTGACTGTGGCCATTTTTGTAAACAGGGCCTCTGTTGATGTAATCAAATTGAGATAAGGTATTACTCATGAAGGGAGCCCTTCAGCCAATGACTGCTGTGCTTCCTCAGAGGCAGAGGTTCAGAAACACAGAAACAGGGAAGAGCCTTGTGGTGGCAGAGGTAGACACTGAAACAATGCAGCTACTGACCAAGGGACACCAGGAGCTGACAGCTGCCACCAGACGCTGGGGAAAGCAAAGAGAGTTTTGCTTTGGAAACTTCATAGGAACTGCCATCCTCCCAACAACTTCATGTCATCCTCTGGCCTCCAGAACCATAAGAACACAAGTTACACTGCTGAGTCACTTTGTTTCAGCAGGCATAGAAGTCACTAGAAGTTAATACAATATGTAACTGGAAAATCCAACACATAGGAAAGTAGAGTTGAGAAATCACAGAAACTCGATATTAATAGCCCTCTCTGAGCACCTGGTCAACTCCCTGATGATTGTTTGTTTTCATTAAGGAAGCCAATAAATGATCCTATCCTATTTCTAAATCTTTATGAAGTTTGGGTTATTAACCTTATCAGGATGTAGGATAGGTAGGTAGGTAGGTAGATAGATAGATAGATAGATAGATAGATAGATAGATAGATAGATAGATAGATAGATGTTCACACAACTATTTGGAAAATATAATAAATAGACACATTGTGTTTATACAAAAGAAAATGTCCCTCTACTTTACTGTAGAGACAAACTTTAATCACATGTAATGGGCCCTTGGGGGTTATTTCCTCCTGAGTAAGCTGTAGTCATAGATAAATAATCACAGCTATCCTTACATTTTGATCAGAACTTCTCAGTGGCCAGCTGAAAACATGAGAACTAGTTTTCATTCCTAAATTACATATTTCACTGATTTCTATCAGAGGAATATTAGTCTTTCATTCAGTTTGCTACACAGAAGTGAGGTAATGATAAATCTGTCATCATTACAATATTTTGTGGTAAAATATTAATCGTGTTACTAAAATTTTCACCCAAGAAGCTTCCTGCTGAAGAGATAGGTATAACACTGACCAGTATGCCTAAGAAGTTAATCCTTCTTTTTACTACATTGATTTAATTATTGTGAGAAGAATGCTTTCAACAGTAAGAACAGTTAGAACAGAATGATATCCACATTCTTTCCACTCCAGAAAGGTAATTGTCAGTGGGGGCCCATCCTCCATCCCGGCCAGCTTTTTCTCCCCACCAACACCAGAGAGTCCCAGCTGAGTCAGGGAGGCAAGAAGCACATCCTATTTCCTACTTGTGATACACTCTAAGATTCTATCTCAAGTTCACTTATGGCCTCATGGGTTCCAAATGACTAGAATAGATATAACCACACACCAGAGACTTACTCTGAGGACTTCCATCATTTAATTTCATAAAGAACAATCATAAGTAGCATTCAGTCTCTTAAAAATGAAATTAAGGCAAGAGCTTGTGTTGTCAAAAATGGTTCTTGTAAGCAAATATGAAAAGAACTTTCTCTGCTGCAAATGTTGCCTGAGTCCATGAACTAATGAAAAAAGGTATTGCAGATGAGAATTGAGTTCATTATGCTGTATTAGTACAGTCCCTGTGTCAGCTAATCTTTTTTGTTGCTTTCACCAGAGGCATTGTAAATACATTTAAATATCATAGCTAGGTTTAAAGTTTAAAAAAGTAAAATTGTGGGTTTTCTACAGTTCAAGGATTAGCAAACAGATTCTTTTACCTGGAAAGATGTTATTTGATGGCGTCAACTGAAATTCTTCATTCTTCATTTTATGTTACTAAAGGCAGGTGTCAAAATGCTATCTTGAAAGCATTAAATGGACACAATCACCATTCACTGAGCTAGTATTTGCTAAGTGCCTCATACCATATAGCAGGTTAAAATCAAATGAAATGGGCTAATGAGTCACAAGGCACATGCTTGAGAACCTGGGATGTAGGACAGAGAGCGGGGACTCATGGAAAACACGAAGTGTTCCCAGAAGGGAAAATCTAGGAGGTGAGTCATGGTGTTTGGTTTTGGACAGCCAGGAAGTAGTTTGAGCCTCTTGTGGCTCTGGGTAGGATGCAGAGAAGTGGACACCAGAGGATGGATGGAGAAAAAGTGCATAGCACTTATATTTCCTTTCTCTCAATCTTTGTCTAAGGGAGGTCAAGTTTGAAAAACAAGGCAGGGGCCGGGGAGATGGCTCAGTAGAATAAGTGCTTTCCTGGTAAGCACAAGGGCCTGAGTTCAATCCCTGGTTCCACCAAAAAAGAAGAAAAACAAGATACATGTCATTCTTGTGCACCCAAATTTTCCTTACCAATTGGGGTAGACAGTATGAGTGTTACCTCCATTCTCCCAACTAGACAACTTCATTCAGATAATGAACTGTGTATTGTGATGAGGAGGCACATGTTGGGCTGTAACAGATTTTGGAACAGTGGTAAAACTACTCTGACAGTCCCCTGCTCAGCTCACATCTTTTTCAGATGTACACCTAGAGGGCTTCTGAATTAAGTGTCCTTCTGAGGAGAAATGATTACTTATTTTTACCAAGCTATTTTTTATTTTATTTTATGTATTTGGTATAGGGTTTCACTATGCAGCTAAGACTCCAAGTGATCCTCCTGTTTTCAGCCTCCCCAGTGCTGGGATTACAGGCATGTGCCACCATGCCTGGACTCAGTAGCCCGCCCAGCATACTCAAGGGCAGGGCTGGCGTGGCACATGGTACCATGTGCTCCTGGAGACCAATCCCAGCCCCTGAACTTGCCTATGCAGGTGCTTAGTCCACCGAGCTATCTTGCTGGCCTTTTGCCAAGTTCTTGACCAACAGATTATTGTGGTTTGTGTCTAGATGTCCCCCCACCCAAAGCCTCATACAGTCATGGGTGGGAGGTTTTTTGTAGATGCCTAAATCTAGAGTTTGTAATTGATTCATGATCTGATGATGGGATTAAGGGCTCAGTGTTGCACCCACCCTAGGGCAAGTAGCCTGCACACGATGTAGGGACAAAAAACGTCTCGTCGCTCTCTCTTTCTACTGCCATTGTTGCTTTTGTTTTCCTCTGCCACTATGAACTGTTGCCCCATGTACCACCCTGCTTTGGAGCCAGATGATTATGGACTGAAACCTACATAATCTGTGAGCTAATTAAATCTTTCCTCCTTTAACTTTGGGTGTTGGGTCTGTCTCAGCAATGAGTGAAAAGCAGCTAAGATAAGACTGTTGAGTTCAAGGTATACATGCCTTGCACCCTGGAGCAGCAGAAGGAAGGAAGACAATCACCTAACACTGCCTCCCCACTTCACCTTGTAGCCTTATCACCATCTAACCAGGGAAGTAGGGAAAGGCCCCTTTCTTCTGACTTCAACATCTAGGGGGCCTCATCCCAGTGAGTATTCAAGAGTACCTGTGATAAACTGGTACTTAATTCTGTCATTTTATAAATAAAATAATGTAAATTAGACTTCCAAAGAAACGGTTCCTATATGAACTTGTTGATTTAGCTACTGCTGTTTATGCATTCAACGTGGAACACTAGCATAAGCATAATACCTCAAATTTACATCGCACGGACAACCCTCCTCTCAGTTTCTTAACCTATGAGCTCTTTGTTTTTTTCATATAATCACCTTAGGAAGTGTCTGACTTATCTGAATTCATGTTGCTGATTTAGAGGAAATGAAAATAAAGCAAATGTCAACAATTGTGCTAAATCTCTTTTTGATTTTCTTGTTAATTATCTCTCTGCAGTTTCTGAACAGCTGGACACATCTAGTCATATTCTCAACAGTAGTTTGAATCATTTCTTTGAAGACTGATTATTGTAGGGATATTGAAATATAAACACTGGAAATCAATTTTCCTCAAATTTGGAAATTCTTCTGTATAATACAGAAACCCCCAATGGTTTCATTCCTGTTCCAGCTTGAATATATAATATCTATCATTTATTTATTACAATCTGAATAGAACTGAAAAAGCAATCTTTCTTAGCAGTGTTACTAGAATATATTAAGCCTGGTCAAATAAAATGATGTATTTATATTTCGCATTTTATTCTGTTAAAAGCAACATGGTGTGGAAATGAATAATTCAAAAATCCCTAAATAAAAAAATTCTTTTTCCTGTCACTTATTTCACCAGTGTGTTAGGTCTTTCACAAAATAACTCCAAAAATGTGCAAACAAAACCTTTGATATTTGAGACAAAAATCCAACAGCCGTTTTGTGGGTTTTTTTTTTTTTTTTGTAGACTCCAGCATTTTTATGACAAACAAGTGTGTCAACACCTTTCATATAGAATCAGTTTTCTATTTTTATTTTTAAATTCTAGAAACAGACCTAAGAAGGCAAAGACTCAGAAATGAAAAATTCCTTCAGGACAGGGATCTGATACTGCTTGTTTACAGAAATTGAAAACAATCCTGTATATATAATAGTAATATTAAATTTTATTTTCTTCTTAAAAAAAATCGCAGTTGGACATTTGAACCAAGGTTGGTTGTGTGTCAAGGATTGACTTTCCATTTTTATAGTTACAATCCATCTCCACGATATCACCAAAGTGCATTAGCTGCTTAAACAATAAATTATGTGGAAGCATTGGTGCCATTAGAGGCAGAAGATGGACTGGAGACCCTGCTTGCTGCACGATGGCCTACTTGATAACTTTGTTGTAGCCTTCTCCTCGCTTGGCTTCTAAATGTCCGGCTGATGGCTTCCTCACCAGCTGCGCTTCCCTGCCCCTCCCTGCTCCCAGATCCGGGCTTCAAGGGTTTCAAGAACCTAAGAAATGCATTTGCCAGGCAAGCCATAAGGACCAATAGCATCATCTGATCACTTCAAATCAAGCAGAGACAAATGCTCAAGAATGACAGGTACTTAGCCCAGGGAATCAGTTGCTTAGGTTTTGGTGGGAAGAAGAGGTCTAGCCATGGGGCTGGAAGCCCAATTGGAACTGCGCGGGGGGAAGAGGAGAAGGTTGCTGGGCACCTAGCTGAACCTTGTCTTCCTCACGTGCCTTCAGTCACTTTCAATTATTCACAGGGGTTTCCCTACCAATTAAAATTTTCTAGTGAACCCACCCATAACAACCAGGGTGGTGCCTCGCCCCTCTTCCAGTCATCTTCATCATTTTTGCCTTGTTTAAGATGCTAGTAATTTAACATCTGCACATTTCCATCTTTCCACAAATAAATGTATTTGGCCTCCAGCCCACCTCCACCCAGCTCACTTGGATTTTAACAAGAAATGATAGCTCTGAAGGGCACGCACGAGGAAGCACCCAGCATTCCTAGATGCCCTTTGCCCATTCTCTGTAGTGCTAGACAAGTAGCAGCTAGAAGTGTCCCTACCGACTCAGTCACCCTGTCTGGGGGGACAGCATGGCTGTGACAACACAGGAGCTGAGAGAGCTGGAGCCGGGGCGTGCAACGGAGAAAGAGGAAAACCTCGGAACCCAAACAGGCAGCGAAAAAATACAGAGAACAGAAACAGCAGGGAAGGAAAGTGCAGTGAAACTGAGAAATAAACGAGAACTAGAATTGTTACAAAGACAGAAGCCACAGCACGAAAGCAGAGATAAACAGCACAGAAGGGAAGGAACGCATGGTGGTATCAGAGAACCCAAGGAAGGAAGTCAATTCCCAAGCAATGGGTGGGGTGAGGAAACAGTCAAAGGCTAGGATGGAAGATAATGACAGGAATTGCACCTCGGACTGGCACGGGGGACGGGAACAACAGGGGAGGAAGGGGGAAAAGAAAACTAGAAGCAGCAGCGCAAAAGCGAACGCTCATAAAAGAGACCGTGGCCACCGTTGTCACAAGAAAAACAGGTGCTGAAAGTAACTGTTTTCTGAGCGTTGGGGGAGGTCGCGGGGCCGGCCATCCCCACGGCTTCGTGCCCTGCCCCGGGACCAGCGAGGCCGCCCATCGCAGAGGGACACAGCTGGATGATTTGGGAGCTCACTGCTTCTAGGGTACCACCCCGAAGGAAAGCCCCAAGCTGTCAGAAATCTAACTTTAGCGATGTCCTTAAGCGCTCCGAAACCCGAGCCGCAGGTCTGGGACAGCAGTTTTATGAGTTGAGCAACAGTCTGTCCCCTTGCGTTTGCCTTGGTGGCTGTCTGGGGGCGAGGCGACAACGAGGACTTCTCATCTGTGTCTGGGGACTTATATGGGCTGGCAGCCCCGAGTGGACCCCCTCTCCGGGGAGCAAGCCTGGGACGCACCCCAACTCCTTCCCACTGTACTTACGTCCAGGAAGATCGACATGCCCTTGGACAGCTGCAGCGCAGAGCTGAGCTCTTCCGAGGAGTTGTTGGAGGACGGCGATGTCTCCCGGGACTCCTCCATCCTGCGAGCTGGACGGCACAGGCGGCACGGCCAGGGAGGATGCACCGCGGGCCAGGCGCTGCCGCGGGCTGGGGATGGGGGGGGCGCGCGCTCGCTCCCGCGCCTCCCGTGTCCGCGCCCGCGCTCGCGCCCGCTCCCTCTCGCCGCCCCCTTCTGCGGGGACGCAAGGATCACTTGTTCCCGCACTTAGCAACAAGCAGGCGCCCTCCTCCGGGGACGCTCTGCGCCTGGGCACTGGCGCCAGCCGGAGGGCCCTGGGCTCCCTGCGCATCCTACGACGGTCTTAGGGGCCAGAGAGGAAGACGGAGGTCGTCCTGATGGAGAGGGATGATTACAGAAAGAAGGGCGAAGTAGACGCCCCCCGGGCTCGCCCCAAGAAGGAAAACCTGAACACAGAGACGCTGCCTATTGTGCTTTTGCCCCGCACTGGACCCTCTACCTTAACCTCCAAAAGCAAGAGGATTCTTGCATGTCACCAAAGCAGAGGCGCTCCTTTCTGGAAACCATTCGGACCTGAGTTCCAACGCTGCCTTAGACTTCTTACCTTGTCATCCTGAAAGTTACTAAGTAATTAAGCCTCAGGTTTCCTAATCAGTAAGATGGTCGCAATGGCGGTCTCTACCATAAGGAGGTGTGGTGATGTTGTCAGGTGTAGGTTACAAAAGGTAAGGAGATGGTTCTCATCTTGTACGTTCCCTTGCATAGCCCTGAGAGTGGCTACCTTCTTAGACTGTGCACCCTAGGCTGTCCTTCACCTCAGCACCCTCCAGCCCTGCACTGTGGTCTGCTGCTTACAAAAACAAATCCAAGGCTCTCAACTCTGGGTGTGCACTGGAATCCCCTGGTGTGTGTGTGTGTGTGTGTGTGTGTGTGTGTGTGTGTGTGTGTGTGTGTGTGAATAACTTTAAAATGTGGCCACAAGTTCCTATGAAGAAATGACCCTGCTTCAAATCTAGAAGATTGCATCTGCCAAGGCAAGGTGCATGAGAGGCCACATAATCACATGTTTTTTGTGGAATAATGACTTCTCCAATCCTAAGCATCCATCACAGGAAATCTGACTCCTTAAACCACCTCACTTCCAGCAAGCCCAAGCCGAATGGACAGGCAGACACCAGCACCAAGCTGACAGTAGGTCTGGCTGACCAGAGACTTTGCTCGCCCCAATCTAGTGAAATGTCCTAGAGAAACCTCCAGGTGATTCTAGCCCCCACAGATCTTTGAGACATCTGTCACCATTCCTCTTGTCTCTACTAAGACCTGGGACATCACAGACATCAGAGTGGATGACAAGACTATCAAACTGTGCCATTAAAATTTTTGACCCCCAGAATTTGGGAGCATAATAAAATGTTCCTTGTTTTAAAAAAAGCTAAATCTTGAAGTTTGATTTTTAATGCTAGTTACTGAAACAAGTTTTTTTTTAACCTGACCAAAAAATGACAAATTGACTCAACTAGTATGTCTGGGGATAGTTCTTTAGTTTTGTTTTTAAAGCTCCCAGGTGATTGTGACATGCCAGATTGAGAATCACTGATTATAGTAGAGATATAGAAAAAAAGTAAAACAAGGTATCAGAAGACAGGCAAAAGCTATAGAACGAAGACCTGTGAAGACCGTTCTTCAATAGAATTTTGTATTTAATTGGTAGAGAGTTAGAGACACTAAATTTAATCAGGGGAGCTATTGATTGGAGCTATGCTTTAAGCAGTAGTAACCTGGCACCTTTGCATGCTTTTACCTCATTAACTGCAAATTTCCTTATCTGAGCAGCTAGTATAGACCCTTTCCTTTGACGATTTCTCATCAAAAGAAAATTAAAAATCGTCATGAAGAAAAGACTGACCAAACCATCAAATAAGGGCTGGTCATTCATGTCACTGGAATGAGAAATGCTGACCATGCACATTTAAGTAACTAAGATTATGGAAATAACACATTGTTTGTTCCTGCTATCATCTAGAGGATTGAATAGATGTTCGGGCAACAAGCACAGTTTAAGTCTGACCCTTTGAAGCTGTGTGGTTTCCTTGGCTCTTCAACACAGCACGGTGCATTATAATATTTTTATACTAATCCCATGGTAACAAGAACAAGTGATGAAAACTTCTCTGATTATAAATGAAGAACAGGAGAATGATCATTAGTTATCATTCAAAACAAGGCAGCTATTTGTAACATTTCGGTAAAAACAGTACTTTTCTTTTTACTGACAGTGCAGGGCACCTTCTGTACCTGTAGTTTTGCTTATTTCCTTTAGGGGTATATCAAGAAGAAATGGAAATTATTAAACAGTCAACTGGTCGTTATTCATTTTTATGGTTTCTGCGTGAACTCCATGATGAGCTCACTTCCCTATATAATGGAAATGCAATATTCATGGAAAGCGTCACTAGAAATGGATGACAATTAGATTTCCATTCACAGCCAAATTCAGTAGGCTCTACATAGTGGTAACCAAACATATTTTTGGTTTTCTTTTTATCGAGACAGCATGAAGTTTTGAAAACTGTTTTCACACATCATTTTTCCTGAAACACAGATGCTATATTGCAGTGCATAGTATCAGTTGCAAACAGGAGACAGCAGAATTTAGGGAAGAAATATATCTTCTTACCAACTGCTCTGTGGCAAAACCCTGAAAAAAAAGAAAATGTAGATTCCAGCTCTCAGGCTTCCTACGGTAAGACTTTGACAAGAAAGCATTTCAGGCAATGTTGGCCATGTGGGTCTGTATTGTATTTCAATCCATCTCTGCTTCATGGAGTAACTATTATCTAAAACATTTCAGACAGCCAGGAATCTATTTTACTTATACTTTAAATTCTAGGGAGGGCTGTCCTTTAGCACAGTGACTCAGAACCCTTTCAACCGGGTTAATAGAAGTTTCTGTTGCTTTGACAACGTAGGATCCAAACCCTCTTTCTCTCTGGAGCTCTGTCCCGATGATGTGTCATGATTCAGATCAGGAGCCACCTCTTTGAGTAAGGATATGACCCTGGTGCCACTCCCACAACAGCTGGAGTAGAGACTGAAATTTAGGCTCAACCAATATAATACTTTACTTGGGATTTTGAATCTGCATCAAAAGACAGAAAAGGAAGCTTGTTAATGCAATGGGCACACACAAGGGACTGTCCAAAGGGCACAATGCCAGTGGAGAGCTGAAGACAACTTATCTAATTTGATAAAGGAGCTTCGATTTCAGTAGCCCTGTCCTACAAGCAATTCTTTCTGCAAACTTCCTGAGAAAGATAGCAACTTTCCAAAACATTACTTGCTGATTCACTTTACTTGGTTGGTTGTCGACACTTGAACTTTTACTAAACTATTCAATCTAAATTTCTCCTAATGAAGTGGGCCATATGTTGAGTCATAGAAAAAAAAAAACTGGCTTAAAAAATTAGTGCTCTCCAAACATTTGTTCAGTGTCTGCTTCATCTCAGGCAACTGCCAGACATCACTGGGGAAATGATGAAGTCTGATCCTTCCCTTGGCAGAACATACACAACTTAAAAAGATAGGATTTTAATAATTTTAATGTAGCAAGACAGGAGTAACACCAGAGGTTTTTAGTGAGTGCCACAGGAGAACAGAAGAAGGGACTTCTACCCCAGTAGTGTCTGTTCTGCATGACCATTTATGTTGTAGTAGAAAATGCCCTCCAGCCCCAGCTAGACTACTTCTGTTGGCTGGCTACTAATTCCTGTTGCAGTTCTAGTTACTTGTGTCTCTTAGAAATGGGTGGTCACTGTGATGTGAAGCTGTGCATTGCGATGCATATTGTAAGAGCCAATCTCCAATTGACAAGCCATTCTGCCTCTGTACTTCCTGCTTGCTTATCCCATATAAGCCCTGCACCAGAAGAGATCAGGGCCCAATGTTCTGGGAATGATTCCACTCACTGCCTGTTAGCATAAATAAATCTACCTCCAAATCCTGGGTGTCATTTCAGTGTTTCTGTTTGCTCTTGCAATGCAACTACAGATGTCAAAATTAGGATTTAGGAGTGGGAAGTCCCATGTGATGAAGTTATTAATCAATAGTGGGCATTTGCCTATGAGTTGTTTTAACCTGAGGATGAAAGCTTTTATTTATACCATTGTATGAGTAAAATAAAATCCACATTTATTCATTTACTTGCAGGTCTTTCATCTTAAAATAACCAGGAAACTTAAGCAGTCAATATCCTTCATAACTCTTTCTGTTGTTATGGTTAATGTGCCCAACCTTCTTCTTCCTCAAGGGCAAACTTTCTCAACTGTAGAATCACTGACAAAGAATTAAGCAAAAAAGGAGTTGGAAAACACTAGACAAGAAAAAGCTCTACAGAGTTAGGCACCATCAACCACACTAGCACCATTTCTTTTTTAAAAAATAATTTTATTGAGAAACAAATAGCAATGGGACAGTTTCAAAACCAATTACTAACACAGTTTCAATAATTAATACATTGCATATTGTTGTCTTAGTGTTTATTCATTGTACAAGATGCAGACATGATATCCTGTCCACAAACACTATTAGAACAAATCTCTCTATTCATTGATTTAAGAGAATACACCTGTATATCTATCCTAACTATTTTGAATATACAGATACAAAATGGTTGTTCATTTGTATCCCCCTTTTTTGGTTAGTTTGTCAGAGATGGGCATTCAATTGTCATTTAAATATTGTAGGTGCATGGATCCAGCAAAATATTCCAATATAGTCCAGTAGTCCATAATAGTAATGGGTTTTCCATAAGACTGTCAATGTCAGAAGTTGTTGACTTGAGCCTTTTATAGCTTAGCATATTAATATGGCTTTACCTTTTATACTTTGTTTTTATATTTTTCTGCTGGGTGGTTAAGACCAAGATAAAGCAAGACTTATATAACAAGAAATGTAGCTTTTGTATCTGATAATGTCAGTCAAATTCCCTCAGGATTTACCCTGAAACCCTGTACCAGTTTGTAGATCCTTTGTCAGTGTCATACATGTGGATGAGTCATGAC